CCAACACCCGGACCTCAGCTAACTCCCACACCTCCAGCTGATTGGCATCGAAGTTGAAAATTCATAGCTCAAGGGAGAAAGGAGCTCAAGTCACTGTTCTGACAACCTCATCCTCACGGCAAATTTGGAAGCTAATTTGAAGGTAGAAGGGACCATCGGTGTGAGCACTACGTGGTTTTCCCTTTCGAATCTTCGATTGTATATGTATCACAAAAAACCACAAAACGACTTACATCGATCAAGCTGGCGTTGATGTAGTCGTTCGTACCGTGAAGTATCACTCGAGTGTTGTCGTCTGAAATACCTGTATGAGGTTTCCCGATGGAGAACGACGAAAGTGGACCTACTCGGTAAGATGTCGACGAAACGGTTTCGTGTTCGTGCTTTCTCAGCTGAGGAGCATTTACGCTCCCTGGCCGAATCCCATGCTTCAAGAATCTGATAACAGCTTCTAGGATTAGGAACGAATATGGAATCATATGTTATTAAGATCTTACCTGGAACTCTTCATAAAGCACCGCGTCGTCTCCATTGCGTATTCTATCCAGATCTTCCATGAAATTGTCTACGGTATGTTCCCTGGAAGAAAAAGGGGTTAGTTGGTGGGAGCGATAGATTTCTGAGGAATAAAGAAGCACTCACGTCTGCACTGCTTCAACATGTGCAGCTTTAGCCAAATCCGGTGAGAGCTTGATTTTGCATGGTCTGAATGGTCCCTTTAACGGAATTCTTCAAATACGAAATTAACACCTGATCTTCAAACAAAGACCCTCAGAGCTCCAGGATCAAATTGATGTACTCTGACAAGTGAAAGTAGAGATGTAAATTGTAACGCCAGAAACGAAGAAATGAGAAAACACCGGGGACAGGGGTGGATATAAAGTGCCAGTCTCCAGGAGCGTGAAGTGAAATAGCAGTAATTTAGCAGTCCCCTGAGGTTCCAATCTCCTCCTACAATAGGCGCATTCTCCCATTTTCTACATCCAATTTGACGTGTCACCTGCCTTTAAGTTCGTCGCGTCACCACTTCGAACCCAGCGAATTTCGAGCTTAATGTAACAATATATGGCACATGGCGTAGGCAGCTTTCTGCCCTCAACATTCTACGAAAAGGAAGGCCAGACAGAATGTGAAGGATCAGGTTTTCGTTTTCAGGGCGAACGTGTGGCATTGTGTTGCCACTTTTGGCAGGATATGAATAGGCGAACGTATTTTCCCACGATAGAGTGCCTTCGTGCCACCGTTCCAATCAGAATTGATCGCTGTTCATAAAAATTCCTAGCGACGATGACGTCAGCTCTAAAATGATGGCGAAACCGACTTCGACGTTGCTCGATTGCATTTTCCATAGGAGCGCAAACTAACTCACTCAGCAGAAGGGGTTTTTCTTTTTGCAGACCCACACGAAGGAAAGGCACAGAAAATTCAACGACCAAAAGAGGAGGTCCCGTTTTGCGTGTTGTTCTTAACGGGTTTCTCTGCCTTTTTTTGCGCCCTTGGCGTACCACTCAGCACCCCTACGTCCCTTCTGAGCCCGTCAAGAACCTACTGTAATCGCTGCTTTTAAAGATAAATGAAGAGTATGCAAAAGCATGATGTCAGGTCAGGCCCAGCTGCACTCACAAGTCACCTAACTCGGAAATCGGAAACGCGTGGAGTTGGGTTTTCAAAAGTACCTTATTCTTAAAGCAACAGTTCAGGGAGGGTCCGAAAATTTCAATGCCACTACTACTGAGGGATACACGAGCCCTAGTGAAGAACATATGCAGTGGAAATAATAAACGAACTTACCTCAGAAACTCAAAAACAGGGTGGAAAGTCCCTCAAACATGGGTGTTCTTGGGGATTTCCCCAATCCCGCCCCCTTGCCGGCCGTCATTGGACGCGTCGGCAATCGTGCTCGTTTTGGGACCACAGGGAAAATTGATTGAAAAATGGAGCGCGTTTACAGCGGGCACGTTCAGACAACTCGTCCAACGTGCGTCTTTATCCATTGCTGAGCGGCAGAGGGAGAGTACCTGTCTAAGACCCTCCCCGACGTTTTTTTCCAGTTTTTTCATACATTAATCGTCTGGTTTTCATCTACAACTTCATTATTGGTGGTTTTTTCCCGCGAAACCGTTCCTGAACTGTTGCTTTAAGAAAAGCGGAGCAATTGATGAGCTGTTTAAGCTCTAGTGAGTTTTTGTTCCAGCTGAGGGTTCTCACGGCGTTCAGAAGTACAACCGTTCCGTCCTTCAAAGTGTAAACGGCTTGGAGAAAACAGTTAATGCAGTATAACTTCCAAGGCGGAGTTACGATGGAGAAGGGACAGCCCTAGCTTAGGATAAGTGGTGCAAGATGTAACAAAAAAAAACAAAAAATGCCCCCTCCCCCCCCCCCCAAATGGGCTCCTTACGATTTTTGACACGACACACACCACAAAATCTGTAAAATTATCCAAATTTGACTAATTTCCGCGAATATTTCCTCCACTCGCATTTTTTTCAGAAAGATTCGGCCGAGGTTGACCCTAATTCCGACATTGGTCCTTAGATACTGAGAAACTCGTTGGAGCAGACTCACCGATGTGATCGTTTGATGGAATTCGAGCCACGATGAACTTCTTCGTGGCTTCGTCTGATCTCCGACAGTTCTTCAACATTGAGGATGACGCTTCCGTTCGTGCCATTCTTCACCGGCGTCTCCCTCCCACCGCCGCCATCATCAACCCGTACCAACAAATTTGCCGCTGCGGGCTTTGACACAAAATGTGGTGCGGCACCATTTTTAGCTGCCACACTTATCGTAGGAGGAGGCCTCTCGCGATAATATCTGAACAAAAAGCACGTTTTATGAGTTTTTATCGGGATTTTACAAGCGGCCATACTGGTCAATCTAAACCCTCAATCAAATGTGTGGAGTCGCAACAGCTGGTAATGGAGCTGTGAATGCTGAGTTAACTAAAAATGAAAAAGAAGCAAAGAAAACCATAGATGAAGCCCTAAACAGATCCCCTTGAAATAAGGAAGGGGCGGGGCCGGACGAGTTGTACGAACTTGCCTGCTCCACGGCTCAACTAACCCGCGCGTATTTGAATTAGCCGCTACGCCGTAATCCACGTTGCGTGTCATGGGTGTGCGCGACGTAACTCGTCCAACGTTAGATTAGTCGCCATAAGTTCACTTTGTAAGACCCTAGCGCCATTGTCGCGCACTTTTGAGCCGCAACAACGGCACTTCTGTGAAACTCGTGGCATACTCTATTCCACCCATTTTCCCACCCACACCATCGACACGCCTTTTGGTGGGGGAGGGGAGAGTTTGTTGCTTCAGGTAACTGATACTTTGGAATGACCCTGAACGTTTACTAAACAACTGAGGTAGCTAGCGCAGTAAGCCGCGTCGTATTTGCACGGTCGAATTCACACATTCACTAATCCGTTCATCCCATCGAGGCTGCAGAATTAGCACCAGTATTCAAAGAAGGGAAAAAATATTGTGGAAGGGTGAAAACAAAAATAAATTTACGCTGTAAAAAATATCGCTGGACCGCATAGAAGAGGCCTATCTTTGGGGCTAGCCTGATGGATGGTGAAGAATCGCGGGTGATGTTAAAGTGAGCGTGAATTTTGACGAAGGTAGCTGATTTTTGGGAAAACAACAAATGTGTGCGTTGTACGGTCTCTTGAGCTATCGATAACTATTTGAAGCAACAATCCCTATCAAACTGCCGAGGTAACAGCGGTCAGCAATGAAAATTGTGGAGGCCGAGGTTGACTAAAAATGAGTAAGAAGCCAAGTAGAGCGCGTAAAAGCTCTCAAAGCAAAGGGACAATCCCTAATTACCCCTCTTAACATGGGAAGAGAGCGCTACGGGGACGAGTTGTCTGTACTGTTTGCATTCATAAACTTCACCCACCACACGGCCATCTGGGTTTAGCTGCTACATCGCGATCACGTTGCGATGTTAGCACCCTAATTCAAAATAAGGGGTTGCATGCAGTGTGCGCGAGGTATGCTCGTCCAATAGGCTCATAGCTCACTTTAGGAGGATAGCTCCAGGTTTAAAAGTCACGTTCATTTGTGGCGCGCTTGTCAAGGCCGGCCCGTTCTATTACCTTATTTATGTGAGAGCAAGACAAATTAATGGCAAACTCAATCACTCATTTTCAAGTTTCTTAAAGGTACATGCCATGATTGCAGAATGTGAGCTGTAGGATCCAAATACGAAACAAGTGCTAGGGAAGAACTAGAACAATGATGGCACGAAAACCGGAAAGGCTACTGACAAGGTCTTCTTTTCATAGTTGCAGAGGAAATTGGACACCGAAATGAGGAGCAGTCAGTCATGGGTAGGAATAAGCAAGACGCTCACATCACCTATGGCGCCCATTTGAAGGCACAGCCTATTAGCTATATAACCTCCTATAACCAGCTTATTAGCTATATAACCTCTTAGGACCCTTCGCAAAGATCTATGAGCACCGCAAAAGTGCGGCGCAAAATCCGATGCCAGTGCATTGCGCAGTTCTTCATCGAGAGGGAGTCGTTGATTTTATTCAAGTTTTAGGCGGATTCAGTGGACTCTGCAGAAAATCGCGGATTCGGCTACTTTAAGCGATTCCGCGCATCGGCGTAGGCGTACCGCGGTCGCGCTGCGGTACAGGCCAGCTGAGTGATTTCACTGGCCGCGACGCGAGCCGCAGAACGGCTACGCGATTCGCAAAGATCTGCATGGCTTAGGAGGGAGGTTGTTTTGGGTTGCGTTCTCAGTTACAGAGATTGGACAAAGGGGATGCGCGGCTGTAAAAGAGAACGGGAGTCGGGTTGGGTCTTTTTAGAAGGCTTATTTGATATTTTTTAGGGCAAAGGCGGATGTGGTGCACTGGAAGTGCGCAGGCTTTATCACGCGAGCGGTCCGCAGATCAAATCCTTGGTTCATTGATGCGCTTGGCCAACAAGCTTCCATACCTGCGGGTCAGTTTGATACCAGACTGGGCAATGGGAGAGAATAAGAAAACCTACATCCTCGTAACATTTACTCCCTCCTCACCCCACCCCACCTCCGATGGTTAAGGAAAGTCTGGCTTAAAGCGAGAGATTGCGATAGGATTCTGTTGTGCTCATAGTGGAAGTGAAGATGCTGAATAATGCCCTAGTAGCGAAAAAAAGCAAAGAAATCCGTCAAAAACGCGCAAAATGGGACCACTTCCTCTGCCCGTTGACCTCCGATAATGGACGAGTTGGCAACCAACTAAGAGGTCGTCGGCACTCGTTAAACCATAGCTGCCATCATACCACCAGAGATCATACCTTGATTGATATAGCATTCCATGAGAAAAAAATTGGATACGCGCTCGAAGTGGCATACCTTATCAGAATGATAATCGAACAGCGATCTGCTGAGGGGCGGAGCACAGGCGGAGGCGGAGCTCAGAAAGGATTGGCAGCCCCAGGGCGCTGCAACGAGCGCACCTTTAGTCACAAAAAGGCCACATCTCGATTCCTTTGGGCTCTAGCTACTGCTTGAAGTGCTGCTCGTTCTTCCATGCTGCACAGAAATTTTATCGTAATTTCTCGCTCTTTAAGAAACCTTCAAAATGGACTTAACTTGATAGGTCACCAGAAATCGGTATGAAAGAGAGGGAAAGTAGGCGAATTTGAAAGAAACACGCCTGGGATGCTGGAGGGAATTAGTCGGGATGAGAAGAGGGGGTCGTATTGGAAGAGCCTCATGAGGCTGATGGTGGTGGTGAGGGAGGCGTATCGAGACCCCCTGAAGCAAGGGGATCGTAAAATTTTTGAAATCCTGCGCAACGCACGGTTAATCCTGGGCGCAACCTGTGCGGTTCTAAACAATCAACTATTACTACATGTGGAAGGAATTTATTCCCGTAGGACTATTGTGGGAATACTCTTTTGCTTCAAAACGATTAGGTAGCGCGGCTGAACGTCGGACGGTTTTGGAACGGAGTAATTTTATTTTTGGCCCAATTGTCACTTATTGCATCAAAAACCTCAAAAGCCTCTGTTCCATGAGCCCACGTTCCCAGAATTGGGAGTGTTCATGCGACAAGGACCCTGTAAAATATTTGCAAGGGACCTATGGTAGACCATATCTGTGAAAGCCCGAGCATGCGGAACGGAAGTCGGAAATCGGAACAAGGCGCTGGCGCGCGCAAAAACTTGGGATGAGCGGCGCGACAAGCCCTTGTTAACCAGCAGCAGCGACATCGGTGGTTAGTTAGAGCTATCAAGCCATCAAAAAGCCACTTACTCTTTGGCAACAGCGACCTTTGGTGAATAGTCATGTGTTGTTTTCCTTTGTAATTTTCGCCGTTTAAAAATCAGTAATAGAAAAATAGCAACTGAAGCGAATATTGAAAGAACTGTGCCAAAGCAGATCAGAATAATATCGATCGCTGGAATAATCGTTAATCGATCAGAGCAAATCAATCAGCTCCTCGACCATTTCCAGTCATCTGCTCACCTTCAAGCATGACGGATGTTATAGCAGGGGTTCACCGTACAATCACTCCGGAAATGTCGATTTGCATCTGAAAATTCAAATATGGACGACGATTGATTTTTAACAAAACCGGAAACGTCGATCGATACAATGTTGCGATCGATTTCGGTCTTTGGAAAAGTCGATCATGCTCTATTTGAATGTGAACAACATTACAACGACGTATTGAATGCAAAACACATGTACATCATTACGCAAGCCAGGGAAAGAGAGAGCTCAGACGTGCAAGGGAAACGGACAGGCACGTGACCAATTGGGGGGGGGCTAGCTTTGTACTTGGTCTGGGGAACAGGGTACAGGTCCCAAAAAGGAGGCCAAAATCGCCTTAAACCGCCCATGGGGATTGATTTTCGAATTCACGACGTCCCGGGGCTAAAATCGCCTTTAGCAAGTTGTCTAAAATAACTCCTGGAAATCGGGGTCTAAATCGGGGTTCATGCCGTCCTGGACCAGCAAGTGCCAAACTCAAGCCTATTTCTCCCACATTTGGACCTCCTACAAGAAAAAATGCCCTTTAAAGTGCATTACTCACCCATTAGTATGCACAAACCATGGAGATTAGAGGACATTATGAAATTCAGATTGTTGCGGGGGAGGAGGGGGGGGGGGAAATCAAACACGCGTCATTCGATGAAGAAGAACAGAATTGTGAAATAACACACGAGTGGGAACTAGGGTTTTTGTGTGGGTGGTAAAAAGCGCGTCCGTTCGACAGAGGGCAACAGCCTGAAACTAAAAGCTGGTGATCATTGATTGGCGCCGCCAACAACCACGACTTCTCGGGTTTCTAAACCCTCAGAAGGGCCATTTCTAGGGTTTGTTAGCTTTTGAGGTTCACCACGAATTACGGGGCCGTTCTGCCCTTTACAAAGCGGACGGGCCGATGAAACTGCCCTACAACAACTTCGACGGGACGGCGATCACCTGACAAGAGGAGTAAACAATCGATGGCTAACACCGAGTTCAGTGCGGGTACCAATACCTTGATAGGGGTGTAACGGGTTTTCAGGGTCATGGAAAAGCTAGCAAACTTTAAGACCGCCTCCTCGAGCACCTATAGCCCATATTTATAGCCACAGCGATACCATCTAAGGGATAAGCGCAAATTTAGGACTCAATGGAACCCCTTGTTTATCCATGGAGAATCAGCTGATCCCCAAGAAATACGAGCACGGGGAGACGCCGTTTAACGGAACCGCGAGGCAAACACCCGGAAATGCAAATATTTTGTTTCGTCGTCATCCGGCAGATGATTTCCGACGGGCGCACCAAAAAAAAAATTTTAACTTGGGGGGGGGGGGAAAATATCCGCTCCCAAAAACCACTTGTGTATGTGTTACCTTATCAGATCAATGACCATGAGTTAAGCTGACCCTGGGAGATCATCTGGGGGATGCCCCTAAACCCGGAACGATTCCCAGCTATCACAAGATGCCGAGTTGTGGGCAAATTTCGCCCCAGCCGGGATTCGTACCCGGATCTCTTCGTTTCTTCAAATTGGCTACCATTACCATCGCGGTCAACTCAGCTTCGATGAGTAAAGTTATATAGGCTATCAGTTCACATAAAAGCTAATAAAATCCAACAAAAATTCAATAAATATAAATAAAGTCAAAAATGGTAACTATTCCCGGCGTTTCCGATTTTACAACGAATTCAGCAACGTCACGTTGATGAGCAGATGGAAGTGAAAAGAAGGAAGAGAAACTGTCTACTAATTTGATAAGAACTGATCGGTCTTTGGGAAACTGATGTGTAATCCGCTTTTATACTATAATGGACCAATATTAACGAATTTAAAGGGTCCCTGTACAGTCACCGTCCTTTGGCGCTATCATCGAACGAAGGGTTTCGCATTGCCATTTTGGGGGCAGCGTTGACCAACCTCTCGGGAAAAATTTTAACGTGTCTGCACAAGAGGTTTTATCCGATGGGTGTGACGATTTGGATCTTGAAAAGTAGTAGGTAAAATAGACAAAATTAGTGGATTTGCCGCTTCGTTATCATTGAACCATTTTACCCCCCCTCCCTCGACGCGACGACGGCTGTTTGAGGAGAAAAGTGGGCGGAGCTGGAGGTGTGTCAAGTGGTCTCAGAATAAATACAATAAATACTAGTGGAACAGCCATGAAGGTGAGGGGGTAGGGAACAGGATTAGCCACTTCAGGGAAAAGTGAATGGTCGTTAAGGTTGATGGTTTGGAGAAGATGGTGGATTTTTGAATGAATGAACACCAATGAGACGCCAGATAGGGAGGGGTAGGGAGGAGAGATGTCGTTTTGGGGAGTCCCCTATGGCTGATGGTGGTGATGGGGGGTCACAAAACTTTCAAATGGGAACGCGACGGTTGACCCTGTCGCTAAGCCTCCTTTATTGACCACAATCTCATAAAAACACTGACTACGGCGCTGGAACCCATCGGAATGTGCAACGCTTGATGTCAGAGTCTGCGGTAAACCAGTTCTCTCAAACAGTAACCACATAGAAGTATATGAACCGAAAATCGAATTGCCTGGAAGGGTCGGGTGGGAGCGGAGACGAATTAGCTGGGAGAAAACGGGGGAGAAGGGGTTTGGGTGCCGGGTGATGCTAAATAACACGATTAAACTCAGATTGCACTTTGTGTTGTATCGCATCAGCACGGCTGACGCAGCAGTACCTCGTCGCCCAGAGACGTTACCAAGAACGAAAAGGCTGGCGAGAACGAAGTTGTTGTGAATGTGGCGCGACAATGAAGGTGGTGATCTGGTTGGAATTGCTCGGGTCATGAGCCAGATAGCATCTTTGGACGGGGGACGATAGCGCCCTCACTCTTGTCTGGTCGGCGGGGTTGACTGAAATTGCTCGCACTCCCGATCGGGCAGGAATCGTTAAAAATCAGCGACACAATATAAATCCGCGGATAATCGATGGCAAACGCTCGTGATGAGTTGGGATTTAGGGGGTTTAGTACTACGCCCGTCCATGTTGTTCCATAAGACAAATGTTTTTGCAGGAAAAAAGTATAGGGTAAACCTTTAATCTAGTCTGTACCTTGCTATACGACGCCCTTGACGGAGCTATCACAAAATACGGGGGCACTCTAGGACTAACCATAAGCTTAGGAGAAGTTCAAGGGAAATGGAAAGTCCTCACGCACTAGACTCTCACCTCCCCGCTTAAGGCCTAGGGCCAGTTTCAATAAAAAGGAGATTTTTAGGCGGTTTTCAAATGCACTGTCACCACCATGCCCCCACTTCTTGCGGTAGCGACCATGATCAGGGTAAACAGCTGCTTTCAAACCTATAATGACTCCCACACTGGAGGGATCCCTCATATGAAGCCCTTCCCCAAAATCACCACCATGACCCTGGATGAGGTCTCTCACCATAAACTTGGTTTAGGTACCTCATGACACACTGCAACACCTGCCCACTTTTCTTTCGTCAATTCGTCCATTTTAACCAATTTTCGGCGCTATCACAAGATACAGGGGCATTCTCTGGAACGAAGGCCCAGGAGGGGGTAGGAACTTCAGGTAAAATGAAAATGGCTCACGCACCCTGGATTCTCTCCTCTCTCCCCTCCCTAGGGCCCAATCCCATTCCATACGATTGTCACAACAGTGCCCCCGTGTCTTGCGATAGTGCCCATTTATTGTGAGATGTAAAAAAATTTCCAAAAAAAAAAACGAATCATTCGCCTATGATTACCAGCACTTCATTTCGACCATCCTTTCCGACCCCAAATATGACTCCCATTGGAGAATTACAATTACTTCTCCCCGTTGGGAAGGGCCAAATGCACATTTGCCTCTGTTGATGATCCGGTGCTTAATTTTGAATCTTCGAAGGAGGTAGCAGAAAAGGAAATGAGAAAAAGTAGATAAAATAACTGTGTAGTGAGGGAAATGCTTCAACGCCATTCAACAAAGTCTCGCCTGAAGAACCCATGGATCAGGGCGGATAACGGTTGAGGGAACCCTAGACCATGGCTCTCTGCTGTGTGAGAATAGTCGTGAGTGAATGTATGCACGGAGAGCACAGAGGGCTCGTGCGTGGGCGAGAGTGAATGACCGCGCGGGAGAGCAAGTGAAAATCCTGGACGAGCCGTCGACGTGTCCTCGACCAGTTTTCACCCTGCCACGGATTTCTTGTGGAGACTCCTACAGACGGGTTGAATGTTGAAAACAAATTCCAGCTGCAGTCGATGCGCGGAAGGTGTGAAGAGTCATAATCGAAGAATTTCGACCAAATGGGCGGGTTATGGTCAGGAAAAAGTAAAATTTATTACTAATCGATGCAGTCGATGTCAGAAACATTTTCGTCTTGATTATGTATTTCAGTAACATGCGAACAGTGCTATCCACAGAGTTACAGAGCATACATTACATCCGTGTGCGAAATCCAAAGCTGAACAACCGAAATGAGTGCATGGCCGTCACGAGTGAATTCCTGCCTTTCATTCCCTTATGCGAATTGTGAGATCATCACGCACTGCACGTACTACGTTTGAGTGAGGGTGTCTCATTTTTCGTCAGCTGTCCACGGAACCGAGCGGGACCCAGTATTGGTGGAGCCGTAAGAGGTTGGTTTTAGCTGGAACTTATCTTGGTTTGAGATTACTGAGAAGCGTAACATTTGGTACTAGTGGGGTGTGAGCGGATAGGCTACAAACTAGAGCTTCGAACCAATTTTTAGGTCTTGAAAACGACGATTTGTTCGAAACGTCGACCAATAAAGTGTTCCACCATATCAAACCTGGAAGGCTAAACAGAAGCAAGAAACTATAAACAATGTTTGTGTTTCCACCATTCACTCTTTATGTTTACCTGGCTACGAAAAAACAGAAAAATTCGGAAGCTTTAGCAAACCAGTACTACTAAGCTAGGTGAAACAAGGCAATCTCCAGACCGCAAGCTCTCATGGTGTACGATGCTGGTCAATGAGATGAAAGGACAAAGCGGTATTGAGCGATCCTTTTCCGGGTGCG